GCTCAAGGTTCACTCAGCCTTCCATCCTTCTGAGCTCAAGGTTCACTCAGCCTTCCATCCTTCTGAGGTTGGTAAATTGAGAACCCAGCTTGTGGTGGTGGTGGGGGGACATGTAGCCTACATAAACTGCCCAGAGTCCTTTAAACACTGTGGGGCGGTGTATAAACAGCACACTTTGCTTTTTGCTTACAAAAAAGGTCACAATAATTAGGAAGAGCATGCTGTTGCAACAGTATATAATGCTTGAAGCCACTGTAGCTCCCACTGTCCCATCTGGTTTTATCTGAATTTGGAAGCTAAGCAGGGTCAGGCCTAGTTATGACTTGGATGGGTGACTACCAGAAACTCCCAGGTAGGACTTAGGAAGAATTCTGCCTGGAATGCTGGAGAGCCCTTTCTGCCAAAAAATATAAATAAATAGATAGCACCTGGGTTAGATGTACAGTATTTGGAATAAGATGCCTTCCTGTTTTACGGTGCATTCCTCTGCATCATTACTCTGAAGTAAGCCCCACTGACTCAAGAGTGTTGGGTTGGAATCTGGCGATCCAGATTCAGGTGTCCACTGAGCCATGAAAATGTTTATCCAAATAGTTTCTCTAATATCCCGACAATATTGTTGTGAGAATGAAGTAGGGAGCAGGAGAGCTTTGTGTGCTGCTGTCCTCCGTGTATCAGAGGAAAGGCCGGATTTATATGTAACTAACTAAATGATTTCAATGGATTGCTTTAATTAAGAAGAACCTCATGGCGATTTTGCCTACGGCTCGTCAACACACACCGAAATCTTGGCAAGAAGTGAAGAGAGACAATACCACGATGGATTTTAAAATTATTTAAAGAAGCCCACGTGAGTGGACCTTCTCTGTCCCTCACACAATTCTGGTTGTGGGGAGGCCAACCCCTGAACAGGGCAAATATATTTCCTCCCAAGGAGTTGTTTGCTTGGAAGTGTTACTTTTTTTGGAGAACAGCTCCCAGAATCCCTAGTGCTTGATACTGAGAGAAAATATAACGTTTGCCCTGTTCATGTATTCACCTCCCTCAACAGAATGAACGTTCAGGGAGATGCTCCTTGTTGGTGTTTCCACATTTTGTCTTATCACTGAAACAAGAGCTTCCGGTCTCCTCCTCTTCCTCTCCATCCCAGGGTCGTATGTTGTGTTTGTTGTGGAGGATGCACCCACAGGTTGTGGGTCACAATATTTATTTAACCACCAGGGAGCTGACCTGGCAGTGTGGTGGCCCCTCCTGTGCCAAATAAAAAGTGACTTTTATTGAAGGACCATGAGTTAATTCAGCATGGGGGGCATGGAGGTCATGCAGCGAAGGTTAAGTCCTCTTGAAGAGCAGACGTTCGGATTTCATATCCAGGGAAGCCATTGGGCAACAGATGTAAAGAATGGACAGGATCAATATTTCTGGTCCTTTGGTTTGTGAAGCATCCGTTAGATATCTGGCTGCAGAGTTAGACTTTGGAAGTTAAACTCCCCGTTGTGCCTTAAGGAGAAAAGCCAGCCTGTTTAGCCTTGGGAAAGCTGCACCAGTCCCAGAGCACCCCAGGAAAAGGGAATAGAAAAACTGAGCGCTTGATCGCATACCAAGAACACCCTGAAAGAAGGGTTGCCAGAATTGACATAATAGCACATGGTTATTATTAATAGTGAGATGATGAAACTGCAGAGATAAGGTTGGAACAAATTCTAGGCATTTGTTTGTTCAGAGCTTGGAAAAGTTGCTTTTTGACCCTCCCAGCCCACCCGTGGGCCATGCTGGCTGAGAGATTCTAAGAGCTATGGTCAATTAAAAAAAAATTAACATTGTCTTAAACCCTGGCTTTGATGCTGGACAGATTGATCTCGATTACTACCATAAGTTCTCTCAGAATCAAAGTTGCAAATCTCTTTCAAGCCCTCCTGTTTTGTTTGACATAGAAACCTGGAACTGCATAAAAATATGCCTTCGGTGTGGAATACGGGACCCCAGAAAGTGCTTGGTTGCCCGGATGGCGTTGGTCTGTAACATCCCTCACTCTTGCTAAGTTGGCTGAGGGCTGCTGGGAGTTATGATCTAACAATACCAGGAGGACCACACTCTGCCCATCCCTGGAGTAGAATTAATTTCATCAGATACATGATTTGTGCCCTGAGGATGACAAATAAATGGGTATACTATAGAGAAGGAATTGTGAACAGCGCAGCTAAAAGGCTCATTCCTCTGCAATGCTCAGCATCTCTCTGCAAATCTTGTTGAAAACAAGATAAGAACAGGGATGGTTTATAACAACAGTGATTGTAACACAATCCTTCTCGGATATATAAATTTAGAGGTATCTAGAACAATATAGAAGTATCTAGAACACTATAGAGGTATCTAGAACAAAAGGCTTTGTTTCTCTCCCCCCCAATTGATTCCATGTAATTTGTTTGTACATTATATAATTACGCCCTAGATGTTTTTAAGATGTTCTGTCTGTTTTAATGCATTGTTGTTCCCTTTTTTTTTAATGTTGGTAACGGTCATGGGTATCACACTTTAGGCTGGTTTATAGAATCCAGAACTAACAACAATACACCTGGCTTCCAGGAAATTGCCTTTTCAAACAAAGCATTTGCAGTAGTTCTTTTCGTACGGAAATATTAAGTTACCAAACCACACGATGCCATTTTCTGTCTCTTTGTCTTGTCCGTCTGATCCCAAAGGGGACAGAAAGACTGACTCAGCCTGTATTCAGTCTATGCAGTTTCTGTAGACGAAGGTATAATAGTTTCACTGTGTGTGTGTGTGTGTGTCTTTGTGCATTCAACACCCCCACACAACACTTCAACTAAAAGCTCCTTTTATGAGCCTTAGTGTTCAGAGCTGATTTTCCTTCCATGAGTTTGAAACTTTGAATTTGATATATTTCCCTGTAGTTTCCCTTGAAAGTTCATGGATAACAAACAAACAAACAAACGAACAAAAATGGACCTGAATCCAGGTTAATAGTCTCACTGAAGGGATTAGATTTTCATATTCAGCTATAGAGTCTATGGGTCCTCTGTAGCGCAGGCTAACAGTTGCATTTAGCTTTTTTTTTTTAAAGACACCTCTCTAATTCTTAACATCTGTCTGATTAACTTGAAAACTAGAGCGCTAAATTGTAAACAGCCTATCACATTCCATGATTTTGACATCTTGTTTCTTCCCTAGAAATCCTGAAACTCATCTGATTGCATAATTAAGAACGCTGGGGAAAACACTAAATGTAAATTCAAATGCAGGAAAGCACATTAAGAAAACTTTGCACCAGAATTTCCCTCCAATTTCCTGTCGGATCTTTCACAAAAGCTGCCAAACTCCTCTACGTTTCAGACAACGTTCCTAGCCCTGCTCTTATTATGTAATATTTGGGTGATTGATGCACTTCTTCCTTGGTAACCATTGGACCGAGTCTCAGAGTCTCTTTTATTTTACGTGTTTGTAAGGTTGATTCCAAGCAGTACAAATAAGCTTCAAAGTAATGGCCGTAGATCGTCAGCCTTCCATTAAGCAGGGGCTTTAAGCTTAGGATGGGCTGCTTGTTTTTGAAAGATTCTCATGTTTGTTGCCTTGAACACCCATCCCCAAAACTCACATTTGGCTGTCTGAATGAGACCACCACCACTGCCTCCTCTTTTATCTCTAATTGCAGGCAAATCAGGGACAGAGAGAAGGCTTATCCTACTACGCCTGGTTTGGGCAAGCTCTGGAACTCCAAGGAGCCAAATTCCCTCCCTCCGGACCCAGGGCCTGCACCAAGCACTAAAAAACAAAGAAATCCAGGAAAATCCAAACTGAGAGTAGCTGGAAGCCCACTTCTGGTTTGGTAAAAATCATAATTGTTTTGTCTGCAGTACTGGTAGAAATCAGGGGGAAGCCTGCAATTTGCTGAAAAGGTAGTGACCATTTACCCTTTGGGAGGGCTGTATTTCTTTTTCCCAGCTTTTTGGGCTGGTGGGGGTCCAGGAGTCAAAAACAAAAAGCCCTTGGTGGCAACATGTGGCTTGTGGACCGCATGCCTCCCCCTCCTGCGCTATTCCAGCTATCAGTCCCTGCACCAGGGTGCCACCTCCATGGTGTTCACCAATGACTTTAGTTGGTGGGTCTGAACCCATCATGATCACTTGTGTGACTTCTCCCGAAATCAGTGCTATTTAAGCTCGTGATGAGTTACTCTACTTGGAAGCATCTCATGGATTCCTCAATGAAAAGATGAGCAGTGGTAGACACAACCTGACTCATAACTTCCAATCTTCTGCAACAACCTGCCGCTGCAGCAGTGTTTAAGGGTTGTTCAAGACAGCCTTCTGAGATCACAGTATGACACAGGTCCAGGAATGGTCAGTGTCTTGATGGAACCTATGTAATATTGTCTTAAGCTCTATCCTGGAAGCTAAGTGGGTTGGGAGCCAATGAAAAACAAATACGCAGTTCCTTTTAATCAGCAAGACCCCATGAGCCTAGGTGTTGTGTATGGAATGATCAGGATCCCTCGAAGATGTCCCCCCCAAAGGTCTACCTTGCGCAGAGCTTTTGGCCCATGGACAAGCTGGAGAAGAAGCAGTGCAGAATGGGTTTTCTGGACGTAGGAGGCTTTGAACCCGCCTCGCTAAACCAAATAGGCCCATGCAAGTTTCATGCAGTCTCCAGCAGTGTGTGTGTGTGTGTGTGCTGTGTTGTGTATTTCCAAATAACTGTGGTTTAATTCAACAGGTTTGTAGGAGGATTTGCAAAACTAGGTAAAATTTCTGCACTTTGGAATTTCAGGGTATTAAGAGCTTTAAAAAAAACCCCGTATGCTCCAGGTAAGAAGCCCCAATCCTTGCATATCTGCTCTCTGCTACAAGTTACTCCCCCCTGCCCTGTTCCCTCCACCCCCCCTACCCTTCTTTCTCTTGTTTTCTCTCTTCTTCTGTCGTTACTTTGCTGACGTTCTTGTCACGGTCTTCTTCTTGTCTGTGACTTTCCCTTGTTTGCAGATACATAACTGAATTTGTGGACCTGGGCAATGTATCCGCCTTACGAACGTTCAGAGTTCTCCGGGCGCTGAAAACAATCTCAGTCGTTTCAGGTGAAAAGAACAATAACAGGTTAAACACTTGGGCTGTTCTCACAAAGCTTCTGCACCATTCCCTCTAGCAAAATGGCTGTCGGTAGAACACGGCTTTTCACAACAATCAACTCCTGATTTGGGAATGGATGAGTGTAAGAAATGGGGACCTGTCAATAGAATACTTTTTCATATGTTTCCCAGTCTCCTTCCCCCAGCGTTGTTTTGTGGTGGGGCATCCAAAGCCAAAGACACAATCCTGCTTGCCCATTTTTCTCTTACCACCATTTTGTAATTCTTGGGGAGAAAGTCCTGTATTTCAAACTTGGGGAGTTATCATTTTTTTAAAAAAACCAATTGGGTTTTCCAACATTCTTCTCCACCAAAACTGCTTGGGGCAAGTTGCAACATATGAAAAACAAAACAATGGAAGATTTAAAAAAAAAAACAATATGGATGAAGTCACTGAAATATTGTTAATTTGCAAACCAAACCACTGAATGCTATTTACGGAGGGGGGGGAGAGTAAGGAATTGGAAGAATTCATCTTACTCATCCTTGTCTTTGTAATGTGATCTGATCTCATTTTTATCCAAATTGACAGTGTGGCTTTCGACTGAATGTGGACCCAATCCACCTGGGAGTGTTTGCCACTAGCCTCATTGATAAGAGGGAATGGCATGGTTGGACTGGATTTTTTTTAAAATGTGGCTGCTGATTATTTCAATGGGGTTTGTGAAAAAAAGAGTGCCCTGGTGGATTGTGTTCATTGTTGCCTTTTCCCATAGACGCTGAATGCTGTTCTCACTGTCTTTGTTAATCCTTAGGATGCTTGGTTATCAATGCTTCTTTGTCTCAATCACGCTCTCTCTCTTTCTCATTCTCTCTCTCTCTCTCTCCTTCTCAAATTGGCAATGGAGTTTTCTTTGAAAATAGCTTAATGGGGAAAGACACATGTGCGCATGGTGTATCTATGGACAGGTCTCATTCAGCCTTCGTGTTTAACATAGCTGACCTGCATGGCAAGGTAGAGAAAAATGGCAAAACAACCCTATGCATGGTACTTTTCTGTAGATGATTATCCTGAACAGATTTTTGGCCATTACGGGTCAAAAACACTCTAAACAGATTGCTTAAAGGAGAAAAAGAAGGAGGAAGAAAGGGGAGTAAATCAACATCCATTTAGGAGATGAGGGGAAAAAAACTTTTCACTCCATTAGACAGGAAATGTTCATGCCGTGAAACAAAACAACGGAGCGAGAGCACATTACCTCTGCACCTGTCCACAATGTGTTTAGGGTATGGATTCTGCCGTTACTGCCATTATATCTTTCAGGTGGTAACTGATACAACAGACAGTGGCCCTCAAAGTCATTGGCAAAAATCTGATTGGTTTCAATGGGTTGGTCTACTCTGCTCACATACGGGGGTGTACGAAACCCATTGGGGAGATGTGGCTTTTCTCAGTGTCCCGTCTTTACACGAAGAGCAGCAGTTGGTGGTGGTCAAGTTGAAAGGTGGATGAGTAGAGTAGACCACGTGTGGCTTGAGGTGGGGCAAGCCTCCTTGTTGAATGTGTTCTCCCCATGTGGTGATTTGTTCCTGTTTCATTTTCCTAGGAGAATGGTGTTTGTTTGTTTTCAAAATGGAGACAGTTCAAAACACAAGAGTCTCGTTCGAAGGGGTACAAGGACACCCCCTCTTATGTTCTGATGTCTTCTTTAAGGAGGAGCCAGCGAATGAGTGGTCGTTTCGACCAGATAGGCTGGGTATAAATAGAATAAATAAATAAAATAAATAAATTCATGTTGAATTTTGCTTATGGATAAAATTGCTTGCCCACCTGGAGATGTGCAAATCATTCCCCTCCATCACTCTGCAAACAATCGGATAAATCTGATATGTTTGCTAATCTTTGTATAGTTTGTTTGGCTTCCTCTTTTCTTTAGGTAGGAACACCCAAATGGTATCCATGCTGGCTCAGGGTTTTTGGGAATTGTAGTCTAAAAACTTACTTTTTGAGGTTGTTTTTTGGGTGTATCCAAAAAAGGGTGACATTTGCCTTGGGCCTAACCTTTGGGTTACAACTTGGAATTAAGGGCCAGTTTGGTTTGTCAGCTAGCTTGTTGGACTTCAGAGTGGGAAAAAAGCTTTGGAAAATTACTTTTTTTGGACTATAGTTCCCAGAATCCTTCAGCCAGCACGGTCACTGGTTACAATGGATGGAAATGTAGTCTCCAAAATGAAACTTTCAAATCTCTGCCTACGACATAAAACATAACAGTGAACCTGTATATGGGGAAACAGTTAATTTGGGAAGTGACCCAAATTGTTAATTTGGGAAGCTTGTTTGATAGTGCGAGCAAACCTGTTAGCACAGAACGGTGCACTTGAGGGCCAATGTGAAGACATAAAGCCGTGTAGAAAGGATTCCATGGGATAAGAGAGAGAGAGAGAGAGAGAGAGAGAGAGAGAGAGAATCTATGTTTAGAAGTTGAACATTTCTCTCTAACAAAGTTGTCAACATGGGAAAGACCTGGTATAATTTAACTGGCTGCTGAGCACCGGGATTTAGAAAGAGCATGTGAGGGAAGACCCAAAATAAACTCTCTCTGCTCCTGCTCCATCTGACTTGAATGTTAATGGGGGAGCTCTGCCTTTCTCCAGGGCACACATTTCAGGTTTGATTTGGTCTCCATTTTGAACTGAGCAAAGGCCAGGCCTGGCCAGACTGCATAAACATCCAAAGCAGTTTGTCATCCACCCAGTGCTGAAGAGGATGTTGGGGATCGGAGAAATTTCAGACAGGATGATTCCACTTAAGAATTTCCAAAAGGACAATGCAGATTTACATAGCTTTTGCGTACGGTGATATATTGACACAGATAATAATGATAATAATGATAATAATGATAATGATAATGATAATGATAATGATAAT